GCAATATGGTGAACGAAGGAGCAATATGGTTTTATCAGCGTGATAAGTCTGCAAAATGTTTTTTTCAACTTGTTTTTCAAATCTCTTTTCTACTACACCTGTTATTGTTGACCTTTGATTTGTTTAAATCTTAGATCAAATGAAGACCTCTGAAAAAATGAAAAAGGAAAAAATGGGTGTCTTCAAAGTCCTAGAAGAGTCATCAGAGTCCAATGCAGAATGTGTGTTTTAATGGGCAAATGTGGCCTCTAAGTAGTCTTTCAGATCTTTCAGAGATGTCACTTGCGCTTACTGGTCCTTGATGCTGACTTTCCTTAAGGCCTTGTTCAAATCCCTTGTGTTCTTCCAGTGAATTTTAACATGTTCTAGAGTGTAATGCAGGTGAATAGTTGTAGCTTTAGTAGGCTTTCATAAAGAAGTAAGGAAATGAGCATGTTTCACATTTGCAGCTAGTTCTTGTGCTCAGTGGTATAAACTGGCAAATTTGTTTAAAAAATCTTCCTGTGGAAGTCCTAAACCCGTTTTTTGGTTGTTTTTTAAAGTATGGTGTCAATTATAGTTTTATTTGGGGGAGAACGTGCGCCTTTGTTAAAGCCATTTGTGTAGCTTCTGTTTTTAATTTTTGCAAATTATTTTGGTTAAATAAATATCTGTTTTGTTCTAAAAGTCTGTGGATTTTGGCTTCTTAAACAAGCAAAGCTAATCTTGTGTCCATTAATTCACTTTCCTACTCATTTAGCACTTTAGTGAATGTCATACATTTGAAGAAAATCAAACTAATGCCACACAACAGCAGAAAAATGCCCATACACAAACTGAACAAAAAAAGAAACCAAAAAGCAATGAGCCTAAAAGAGCCTAAATCTTTCTGGTGCAGACATTACTTCTGTATTGACTGCTGGTCAGCTGAGTTGCTCATTTGAAGCAGGTGCAGGGAGCTACAAACCTGATGAAGAGTCTGGAGCAGAAGTCCTGGGAGTGACTGAGGGGTTAGCCTGGAGAAGGGAGACCTTATCACTCTACAACTAACTACATGAAAGGAGGTTGTAAGCTGTTGGTCCCTTCTCCCAGGTAACAAGCAATAGGACAAGAGGAAATAGCCTCAGATTGCATTAGGAAAGGTTGAGATTGTACATTAGGAAGTTCCTTCACTAAAAAAGTCAAGCACTGAAACAGGCTGCCAAGGGAAGTGCTGGAGTTGCCATCCCTGGAAGTATTTAAAAGATGTGGATGTGGCATTTGAGGGTACAGTGTAGTGGTAGACTCAGCAGTGCCATGCTAATGGTTGGACTCTGTCTCAAAAGTCTTTCCCAATGAAGTTATTTTATGATTTTAAGTTGAAAGCCTTTGCTGACAACTCACTCCTATAGGTTGAATATACATGCATTATCCTTTACCTCTTGACTGCCCTTCTCTTCCCACGAAGTACTCCTTGGCATTCACACACCCACACGGACATTCTGCACTTTCCCCTTCCAGAACTTCCTTTCAGTTACCTTCATTACTTCACTGGACACAGCACTGGATGAATCAGGCAGCTTTTAAAGTTTCAGCTGTGGTTTGTGAAAATGTCTTTTAAGTGTCATTTAAAAGCTGCAGTCATGGAATTGCAGCTGGAGCTGTTGGCAGTTGTGCTCATTGACATGGCATAGATAACAGAACAACCCCCCTCTACCAACTCAGACTTCAGAAACCAGTTTCCATTCACTTTATGATCATTATTACTCTGTTGGCCTGATATAGAGACGGGAATCTTATAGTAGCAAGAGATGTTTATACTTACCTCTAAGGGAACAGATAAATCTGTTAATGAGTAAGCTGGCTTTGACCTTTGCCTGGTGAAAGCCCCATTTTGTTGGCAATTGCTGAAGACAAAAGTTTAAAAATTTTCTGTTCAGTTACTTATTAGACTGAGTAATGCAAAGTCCAGCATGTGCTGTCTCCACGTTACATTCACACTGCGCTTCACTTCATGCATCCTTTAATTCTAGTGAAGAGCTACAAGATTTAGTAATCAATGATTGTGCTGTTTTTTGCTGGGGTAGAGTTAGTTTTCTTCCCAGTGTCTGGTTAGGGCTGTGTTTTGGATTTGTGCTGAGCACAGGGTTAATACAGAGTTGTTTTTGTTACTGCTGAGCAGGGCTTACACAGAGCCAAGGCTTTTTTGCTTCTCCACACCACTGAGGAGTCTGGGGGTGCATGAGGGACAGGGAGGAGACACAAGCCAGGACAGATGGCCTGAACTGGCCAAAGGGATATTCCAGACCAGATAGCACCATGGTCACTGTGAAGGAAGGAGGAAGGGGAGATGTTTGGAGTGATGTTGTTTGTCTTCCCAAATAATCATTGTGCACGATGGGGCCCTGCTCTCCTGGAGATGGCTGAACACCTGCCTGCCCATGGGAAGCAGTGAATTAATTCCTTGTTTTGCTTTGCTTGTGTGTGTGGCTTTTGCTTTCCCTATTAAACTGTCTGTATGTCAACCTAATCTTGTTAAAGACTTAATAATAAGTGACAGTTGCTCCCACACAGCCTACATAACTTTTGAAGACTGATCTACCTTGCTTAACCTTCAATATGGTGCAAAATCAAAGTAATTGTTGTTAAAAGTGACAGATTGTGCTTTGTGCTGTGCTGCCCATCTTCATGAGAGTCCCTCTGGCAGGACACTCACCCACTCAAACTGCCCAACACGCTTCACATTGGAACCTTCTATGTGCTCTTACATTATTGATGACTTCTAAAGCAGGCAGCTCAGTGTGGTTGCAAGGCATGAGTGACACTGTTTAACCTATTTTGTTATTGTTGACAGATTGCAGATGCCAACTGTTTAACTCCTGAGGAATCTGGAAAGTCAGACTACAGTGAACATTGCAGTTGTCAAATATTTTGCCTTGCATCATAAAAGATAAATACGTTCCTTTTCTCAGCCAGCCACAGCAGAGTGATCAAAGTCCTCAATAACAAATAGGAACTTCCTCACCTAACCCATTCCCTCGTGAATAAATTGGATCAACTCTGGTATCCACATTAGAAAGCTACACTTCCAGACTACTCCACAAATCTTTTCTAGTCCCCAACTCCTGTGTCAAGCCCCTTGCAGTCAGTTTTCCCAGCTGTGCTGCCAGCCTGGCTGCAGGAGCTCGGGCAGAGCACGTGGCCCTGCACAAAGCAGGGCTTGTCACCCGTTTGCAGTGCAGCACTGGGTGGGAGGGCAGGGAAATGTCAAGAGTGGGTCAGGCTCTAATGCCTTTGCCCCCAAAATCAAGAGGTTTTCTGGAATAAGCACTGTTTTGGCTGACAGATGTACAAAATCATGTAGTGACTTCGTAGGCACTGGAGGGCTGATACCAGGCTCTGGGGCTGGACACAGTACTCCAGATGGCCTCAGGAGCTGGCATTTTCCTGGGGGAGCCCTGAACCCTCAGCCTGCTGAGAAAGCAGGTGGTGTAGAGCAGCCACAGTCCCACCACGGGGGAGGAGACTTGGTTCACAATACTGCCAGAGCACTTTGTGCCTGCATGGTCACTCCACCCCTGCAGGTCTCTGCTTCCCACTACTGCACTGGCCTATTGTGCAGTCCCTCCTGCCAACTTTTTTTTATGGAAGTGTGCTGTGGAGAGGAGAGGATTAACCCCCAAAAGCAGTAGTGTGGGGAGACATCATCTCAGCAGGAAAAAAAATCCCTCCACTCTCACCTTGAAAAAGCTGCTTGTGTTACTATCTGGAGTTTGTGCTGATGTGTGCCAGCAGCCCAGAGAAGCCACGCTTTTCCCAGAGATGATCCAAAGTTTGCTGGTTGAGCTATGGCAGCCTCACTTGCTTGTCTCTGCCCATAGAGGGAGCCTGAGTGGATGAACTAAATTCAGCTCGGTTGGTGAATTAGTCCCCTGCCCAACTTGCCCAAAAGCTGCACAGTTTATCTGAGCAGCAGAAAGCTTATAGCCTTGGTGTCAGGTCAGCTTTTCCTCAGATAAGGATTTGGTTTGGGGTTGTGATTGAGCTTGGCTGTTTTGGTTCCTTTGGGGTTTTTTTGGTTTTTTTACAATGCAGCTGTACTGTGTTGTGATTCATTGTGAAGGAGAGGAAACAGGGCGCAGCAGTACAGCATTGCTGAACACAGGACTTTCCACGGCAGGGACATGACCCTGTCTGCAGCTGTTGCCCACTAACTCCAGGGGCCCTGTGCCAGTCACACAGGGCTTGTGTGCACTTAGAAACCCACCCTGCTGATTTCAACCACCAGCAATTCATTTTAAAGGAAAGATGTCACATCTTAGAAACAATTTATTTTTACATGATTAAGAACAGCCAGCATCTCATTTAGAGGTGTGAGAGAAATAACCACTGCAGGCCTCCTCTCTGCTTTACACAGGTCGAGGTTCTGCTCCTCAGGCACCATTAGCCCTTTGTCCAGGGCACAAGAGGCATGTTCCCCCCTCCCCACATCACCCCCCAAAGGCACCCTCCAGCAGCTGTGCACAGCAGCAGCACTAGGAGCAGGGCGATGCCTTGGGCAGCCACATGTGGTTCCCCCCAGGGGGAGCCAGAACAGAGACTGTGGCTGCTCAAACCTTCCCCTCTTCACTCTCAGGTTCCCCGGTTTCCAGCAAGCATCACGCAATCATTTTTCTCATAAAGCTCAGTTTGGGACTGTGGGGAACAAAGGGGCATCTGTGGTGATGCAGTAGCAGGAAACCCTGACATGCCCAGTCCCATCATCATGAAGCAGTGCTGGACACAGAGGAGGCAGCTCTCGGCTGCCTTGCACTGGGCACAGGCCACCAGTCTGCTCTGAGGCTTGGCTGTGCCCACCTGCCCCTTGCTGGGTGCCAGCAGGCAGCTGCTCACAGCTCAGCTGGCAGCAAGACCAGTCTGACTCAACTTTGTAAATGCCTCCCACTATTCTCCAGGATAAACCCTGCCATGCACTGGGCACCTCTTCTGCTGCCCAGGGAACCACAATCCAGTGCACAAGGAAAACAGAAAAAACCCACTTCTGCCTTGTGGATTCACCCCATTTATTGAAGGCAAACAGATGGCAAAATAACTAGAACACAGAAAAGTTGTAATCTGACTTTGGCCTCTGATTTTCCTGTGTGATTGACAGCACAATGAAGGAAAAAAAAAATCTGTGTATTAAAAAAAAAGTGAAAGAGAGGATGAGAAGAATGTTGAACAATTAGTGACATCTCATGTGAACAGATGGAGGATTAATAATGACAAGGAAATTCAAAGCCATGCCTAGCATTCCTTATTGCAAACAAGATTCTGCAGGGGGTAGGGAAAATGCTCTCCAAGGAAAAGCAGCAGAGGATAAATCATCCACACTTGCTTTGTGAGCAGCAGTTTACTTTGGGAAGACAGTGACCACCTCATAGCCCTCCGGGGGAATCACCCGTTCCCGCGCATGCTTCTCGCAGTAGATTTGGTCTTCCACAAAGAAGTGTCCTTTCTGCTTGAGATTGGTGCCACAGTCGCTGCACACGTAGCACTCGGGGTGACGCTGCTTGTCCCGGATCTTCACGAACATCCCTCTGGGGAGGAACCAGCACTCCTCAGTGCCCACCACTGCCTCCCTCCTCCCCAGCCACCTCCCACCCAGCCCAGACACAAACCAGTCCCAAAGGTGAACAGTTTTCTTCTGCTCCTGACAAGCTGAAGTATAGGCCCTACCTCTGGTCAGGCAGGTGTTAACAGCACTTTAGAAGCCCAACATAGCATGGCAACTCTCCTTTAGAAAGTGTTTCCCAGCACTGACCTGTGCACATTACACAGGGACAGTCCTATCACCTGTGGTGGCAAGAATGACTGTGATGGCATCTTTAGCTGGTGGCTGCAGACAGCATGACAGCATTTAAATGCCCAGGATCAAATGGCAGGCAGTAACTTTACCATCTGGGGAAGCAAAATCCAGGTACAAGCCAACTGGCAAAACAAATGCACAAATGCAGGGATGAAGGCTGCACAGCCAGTACTGCACTTATGCTAGTGACTGACGTGGGAGAAGCACAGAGACCGGATCCTGGTTTTCATCTCAGACATGGCTGCTTGGGAGCTGCAGTGAACAGATCCAGACAAATGTGGGACAGCTCTTAATGGAAGACTTCACAGCTTAACCCAACAGGTGACTAGGAAAACTACAAAAACTACACAGCAATTTGTTAACTACCATCAGCCTCAACACAACAATTTTCCAGTATTATTTTGTTCCAGCAGCCATCTCGATTTTCTGTAATTCATTAGTTTCGAGTGCTATTCAAGGCCTTGTGCTTTCTCTCCAGACCTACCCAGCTGGTAGAATAATTACAGGGTTTGTCTCTGATTCATATTTTACAGGGAATGAATTGCCTCTGTAATGAATCTGCTGGTCCAGATGCTCCAGGCATGCCAGGACCACGCAATCACAGTGTGGTGGGTCTCAGCAACAGTGTGATAGCCTGTGGCGGGCAGCATCTGAAAAATCAGAATTCTTCCATGACAAGGCAGGTTTGGCTACCAGTACTTGACTGCTGTATAGTCAACTCTTAAGTTAAGGGGGCTGCAGGGAAGAATTTGAGGTTGAAAAACTGAGCTACTTGAAGGCATGGGTTTTCAATGCCGGGTCCCCCATGTGATCACACTTACATTACAGCAGCTCTGCATCAAACCCAAACCCCAGGTCTGCTGGAGTTGGATTTTACCCACATAAAGACAAAAAAAAAGTCTGCATAGACACAGTGGAGGTGTGAGGTCCAACAGGAGAGTGGGGAGCAGAATGCAGCTCTGCAGTCCCCACTGCCTCTGAGCACCAAGGCAAGTCTCCATGCCATGCCTGGGAGCACCAAGACAAGAAATACATTAAACCACAGGCCCTCAATGTAAAGGTTCTTTTGTTTCCAAATGCTGTAAATGGATTTCAGGTAAGAAAAACGCTGCAGCAACAACTGCCTCAAGGTTTGACTCAGAGACTTGCTCTGCTTTCCACTGATACGGATCTGTAGATGGACACCCAACTCCTGCCTCATGGCAGGGAACTGCAGAGTTAGCATTATTAAAGCTGATGCCTTGAGTCTCCTGGATGCACTGGATGTGGGTAAGTGAAATTGTTTGGGTGCAGTACCTCAGCACAGGCCGCTCACCTGCAACCCCAGGGACAGGCTTACTTACACAATGCCAGATCCACACTTGTCGCACATGGGCAGCTTCTGGGCATTCCCAATCGATGAGGCCACCTTTGTGGTAGGGGCTTTGACACTCCTAAATCCAGATGGTTTGGTAGGGTCTCCTGGGGGTGGAAGGAGAGTGCTTCAGAGCATGTGAGATGCATGGCTTGAGGCTGTTCCTCCCAAACAGATGCTCTGCTGGGGGCCTGATATTCTTTAACCCCAGCTCTGAGGCAGGGATTCATGCATGGAAAGTGGGCAGGGATTTAGGGATGTGTGGGGAGCGAGGAGGGACACAGCTAGCTGAACCTCACCCTGGAAATGTGAGGGCTTGAGATGGTGGGCAATCAGATGAAAGTATTTTCTCATCTTAAAAGCCCATCAGACTTCAGCTGATGTGTCTCACATGCAGAGATGCACAAAGCAAAGCAAAGCCCCAGCCTTGGCAGCACTGGAGTCTGCCTGATGTGTCCTGATCACACACTCAGGGTCAAGCTGATTCCCAGATCTGAGCTCAGAAAGAGATGGGTGTTCTGGCAGGTTTGGGAGGACTGTCAAAGTCCTTTTCCAGTCTGCTGTCTGCTTTACAGCTGAGCTGGTTCCCCCAAGACTCCTGGAAGATTTAGTTAACAAACTCCTTATTGCAGAGCCCTGGGACACTGGGGATAACCTTGCACTCCCCTCCTGTTGCATAGCATGCTCCAGGTGTCTCCCTATTGCAACTTCTCTAGGGCAGGGAATTCCTGCAGGGCCTTTGCAGGAGACATTGTGCTGACCTGGATGCCTAAACCAGCAGTGGATCCTAGATGCGGGATACGAGGCAAGCCTTTAAATATCTGCAGGGAAAAAGGAGCCTTTTATAAAATAACACCAATGATGGGACTAATCTTATATATATGACTTTTCCAAGGGGTTCTACACCAGTTAACAAGAGAAGGAGGCTGCTGAGACTCCCATGATATTTCACCAGAAACACCTTGAGCTGTGAGGGACAATGATGAAACCCTTCTGACCAGTATCAAACCAAGAGCACACTTACAATGGACATTCCCAGTGCAAGGGGTGGAAAAGCCCTCCAAAGACACACCCTGGTGACCAGCAATGTCAGGGTCTCACCACAGCCCCAGGCAGCATCACTGTTAGAAGAGCTGAAGGAAAAAGAGGGGAACTGCCTACGTCAGCTATGGGGCAGATGATGCTGCACTGGTCTGCCTTTAGGGCAGCCTTCAGCTCAGAGGTTTGCACCCAGCTCTGTGCAGATGCTGGTCCAGAGGTGAAAGTACCCTAGCCCTCCAAACACAGCAAGAGCCACCTGCCCTCCGAGAGTAGTTTCAAGTGACCTTCACTGGGAAGCAAGCAGCAGCAATCACATTTTCAGACTCTTGCCTATCACTTCTGTTCACTCCCTTTGCCTCAACCACCACTTTGCTCTTATCAGCAACACTGACAAGACATTTTAAAATCTCTCCTAATCAAACACCCACAGGAAACGTGGTATGTTCCACCAGTGGAACCCTCTCCACTTCTGAGTACAGGGTCGGGTCTTAAAGGACCAGTTGTGGTGCTTCCAAACCCGCCGTGCCCGGCCCAGGCTCTCAGCTGGTGTAAGCGCAGCCCAGAGTCAGCGATGCCCCAGGGGCCTTGTCGCAGCTGGGGCGATGGCTCAAGCTGCCTTTCACAAGCCATTGCCTGGAGCCAGGCTGGGAGAAGGCGCCGTCCAATGTGCCATTTATCACACGGAACGATCTGATCGCAGCAGTGTGTGTTTGATGCTGGCCGAGTAGCACGGGCAGGCTGGGCCGTGGGACATTATCAGCTCACTGTGGAATATTGCCAGAGCCTGTCCCGGCCCGTGATCGGGCAGGCAAACCTTGTGCCAGAGAATCCCGACAATGCTGCAAATCTTCAAAGAAAGATAAAACAGAGAGGCTTTTGCTTCTTATCTTCTTCACCACTACTAAGCGCAGGGGAGGACCTCGGCTTCCTGAGAAGTCCGGGCTACTCCTTCCATGCAGGAGCTGAACCCTGGAGGGCGAGCTGCAAACACTCAGTATTTAAAAGATTCTTTCAGGTAGGTATTTTAACAGCATATTAAAGACTCCATGATCCTGGTTTCTTTCTTCCTATTGTTTCCTTATTTCCTTAATTTTGCTGTTTCTCTACAGATCCCTCAGACCTACCAGCACTTAGCTAATCTGTTTCTCTTTGTGGTGAATATCTCACCACCAGGTTTTTTTTGGACTAAACTGGATGTACCACTGCCAAGCTAATAACACAAAAGACTGGCCTAAGGACAAAAAAAAAGGTAATTCTTTGAATTCTTTTCCCATTCATTTATTTAATTTTATTTAAGAGGAGAAGAGAGCATGATTTAGCCCCCAAATAAGTTAATTGGCTTTTTTATCTTAAACTCTATAGCTCTGAATTGTACAAGTCCAGATGTCAGACCAAGAATACCAAGAAGAGCAGATTTTCAGAGGCTAAAAACTATGAACTGCTCACTGTAACCCAACTTCTATATTTTTACATTCAGCTGCAGAAGGGGGTACTTTTTCTTGTGTAGGGGGATGGTGTTCAGCAGCGCTAGGACTCACTGAACAGCACTATTTTGTGATACCATCCAAAGTCTTGAATCTAAGATGGTCTTTAATCAGTGAATACTACCTTAAAGGGGGAAAAACTTTAGAAACTATAGGAGGTTTTGTAACTTTAAAAATTTCTTCTTGATAACTAAATGTTACAAGGGTTTCTTTCTGGAGCACTCACTCAATGATTAAGAGATTATATGAGCCTACAGATACTAAAACTAATCAATGAGAGAATATGAAGGAATCAAATTAGTGACAGGGTCTACAGGTTTCTGTAGAGGTTACCTACACATCTTGAATAATCAACAGCTAAATGGAAAATAAAGTTTTAAATGTTACTCAGCCCAAAGAACAGCAGAGGGAAAGAGTACATTCAGATGAGGTGTGCAGTAAGTACTCACCTTTCTCCTCTGACTCCAAGATCTCTTGCAACACAAGAAATGAAGCAGACTGTCTGGGTGGCTCATTTGACTCTTGATTCTCCTGCAGCATCTTGTAAACCTCAGATTGTCTGTCTATGGCAATGTTGCCTGGGGTCTGGTTATGCTGATCTAAACTGAGGAAGGAACAGAGAATCCTCTTGTTAAACAGAGGAAAATAAAGCAAATCCCTCTAGCAAAATGATGATCGTTTGACTGAAGAATGAACGTGCAAAGCACACGCATGACAGGAGCCCACGGACACAGAGGTGCTGGATGTGCTCCAGGTGGGACTGGCACGCTGGGCTGTCTGCCCACGCCGCTGTCAGGAGGAACCTCCAAAGCAAAGGATTTGAAAATAGTCTGGGAAAATATACAGTGGAAATTACTTAAATCAGTGGTTTAAATTGCCAAATGCTGGACTAAGGGATGGACTAAAGGACACAGGAAGTTCCTGCCTGTCAGGTGTTCTGTAGTTGCAGTAAAACATATATAAAACATCCATAAAATGAAATAGCTGACAAATTTCCTCTAATAGCTCAATTCTATAATGTAGTCTTATATATGTAAATGGTCTACTCAGTTTCACCATTCTTGCACCCTGTGATTGCATAAAAAGTGCATAAACATCCTGCGGTTCAGACTAAATTGCAGAGGAGAATCTTTTTCTTGAGGAAACAACTGCATACTTTCCAGGCCAATGACCAATTGAGTCATCTGGGAGTTACTCTACATAATAAACTCCTCAAGCATCAGAAGTAAAATCATCACATGAGTTATAAAATGCTATTTCCATAAAAAGAATTTCATAAAATGTTTCTATCTTTAGCAATTTTCAGTGGAGCAGGAAGCACATTCGACATGCAAACAGTTGAACCTTTGAAGCCTGAATCTCAGTTACTGAAACTTCTCACCCAAAATAAAATAATTATGTGCCTTCTATTAGACAGAAGATGTCCCATGCTGCACATTACATTCATCTCATGTAAACTCATACACTCCCACTGCTCTATCCACCCATAAAAACATTATGCAAGAGGCCTTTCATTGCAGTTTGCATACTAAGAATGTTTCAATAACATGCATCCAAAAAGCAGAGGCTAAATCTTCTTAAAAAGCATTGGAGTAAAACAGAGCCATCACATTTCAACCATGCATTGTGGCAGTGTGAAACATACAGATCAGCTCTCCCAGGTATGCAACCTTTATGTCCACTTGCGTATACAAGATTTCCAAATGGCTATAAAAATCATCAAACCCAGCTTTGTACCAGCAGAGTAAAGCACCTCAAACAGCCAGGGCAGAAGGCTATGCTGCTTAAGTTAAAAAGCATCTCCAAAATGCATGTGTATCTTTTGAAAGGGTAATGCCACAGGCACAGAAATTGTACATGCAAGATACTGAGTCTTTGTATGCCAGCTGATATTTGGCACTTCCTGCTGCACAGGTACTTTATCTGCAGCAATTACCAGCAACTGGTGTCCATTTCCATGCACATGAGTTCCCTCATGAAGAAACTTTGTAAGGAACAAGCCCAACAACATTCATCAGATCTTAGACTTATACAACCATTACTGGATCTCATTGATGGCAACTTGCAACACTAACTGACTAATACTGGATCACTGAGCCTTAAATATTGGCAAGAAGATAGTAATAAAAACCATGAAGACACAGCCTTGCACAGAATCTTCAAAAAGCACAGCTTATTTTTTACTAATGGTATTTTACTATTTTATGCCAGCCTGTTCTGCAAAGCTTACAAGGGTCTCAAGGCTACAGGAAGGCCCAGTGCTTGCAGCACTCCCTTTTGCCATTAAACAATTGCTGATGTCTGGGGCTCCTTTGTGAGCACTATCAGCTCACCAGGCCAGCACAGAGAGCTGGCAGTGTGACCCCTTCTGGTGTGCATGGTACTGACTACAAGCCAGAGCACTGACTTAGAGCAAGTAACTGCACTGAGTAACAAGGCAGGAGTAAATCCTCAGCCTCCCACTATCTCTTGGCTCCTGGCACATGGCAAAGCTTGTCTGTGTGGGTCCAGGGGTGAGGACACCAGCTTTTCTGCTTTGAAGTACATGGTTCCCAGAAGGGAACTGTGAGCAGTCCAGGAGCCATGAGATCTGGCTGTGTCCTTTTCTGCCCCATGGAAGCCCTTGGACTGACCACTGTCCTGAGCCACATGTCACACAGCTGCAAACTGCTTGGTCACATAGCAGAAGGTTCACAATTCATCCTTGACTGGACTCCTGTGAGACAGATAAACGTGCTTTCTCCTTTCACCTGTCCTGACACTAAAGCCCTCCCTGTAAGACCCAGAGACTCAGAGGCTGTCACTTGGAGACACAGGCCAGGGGGTTTCCAACTACCACAAAGAAGACATCAAACAGCACCCAGGCCTTGTGATGCTGAGGCTCACCACAGGTCCTGCAGACCTCAGAGCATGCTGAGCATCCTCCACTCCTTTGGGCAGAGGAAGCCTGTGCTGCAGCAACCTCTACAGAAAAGTGGGCAGGGGTGGGAACACAGACTGTCCCTCCATGTGCCTGGTGCCTGCCAGGCTGTTCCAAACTCATGAGTGTTATCAGCCAGAGAGCACAGGTACCTGCTTCAGCCAAAAATGCTCAGCACACATGCATGGCCAATGAAACAAAAGAACAAAGACTGGCAGCACCTGTCAGTCACAAACAACAAAAGTAGTTTCAAGTGCAGGAAAAATACCAGCTTTCAGGATAAAGCACTTCCCTACCCTCAGCAAACCCAGCTGCTGCAGATGGCTCCTCCAGAAAAGCCAGCAGCTACTGTCAGGTCCTGCTGTGTGGGTGTGCAGGGGGCAATGGACACACTGACACACTAAAAACATGTTTTGGTGTTTGCCATGGTGCTGGGCACAGACACAAGGCAGAGAAAGCTCCTTTGAAGACTCATGCACTAACATTGGACAGGTGAAATGTAAATGCTGTTTTTGTGACCGGACAATGCCATGAGCCACAGACGGGGACGAGGGACTCGTGGACACCAAAATGCAGACGAGCAGATGTGCTGAGCTGGCTGCAGAGGCTGTGGGCAGGTTACCTGGGGAAATCAGGGCTAACAGAAGAGATCTGCCCCTGCAGGGTGTCCATGATGTTGCTCTGCGAATAGAGCTGCAGGGGAGAATTGAACTGCACATGCAGCACTTTGAGTCCCGGCACCTCCACTTCCACAGGGCTGTTGGGGCAGACCTGGGCCACGTGCTTCAGCTGCTCAGGCCCCACTCGGACCTGGCTGGGGCTGGAGGAGGTGCTGTGCCTGCGCCACAGCTCGGAGCTCTGCAGAGGGTCATACACGGAGGCGATGGGAGCCTGCATCGCACCCACCGGCGACGGGCGGCTGCCAGCCCACGCATCCACACGGGCAGTGGGAGGTGCAGTTGTTTAAGGTTTGTTTGGGGTTTACATTGCCAAATTGAGGGGAAAATGCAGAGGAGGAAGAAAGAAGAAAGAAATTAATGAAGGACAAAGCCAAATACTTCAAGCCATCAAGCAGCTGCAGAATACTGTCTGAAAGACACACCACTGGATACACAACTTTACAGGCTTCTGGCTAATGCTGTGCCTCTGGTCTCACACTCCAGGTGTGTCCACACAAAAACTAAAAAGCAAGCACTCCACTGATAAGCAAATATATGGGTTGTAAAAGCAATGAAGAAGTGGCAGAAGGGGTTTCATTATACACTAACTCCCTGTGCACACACTTGTGGTCCCACTGTCCAGACAAAAAATGCCATCTTCACTGCTGTTCTTCTCAAAGCTAGCCTTGGCATCCTACTGAGGAGTAATCTCACTTCCCATGCCAAACCAGATGTGCTCAGCAGTGGGGCTTCTCCATCCCCACCTGCTTTGTGACATCAAATCCAGTGGAGATATTTGCTTTTATTTCTATATGTACTACAGCCCTGCATTTATACCACACACCCTCTAAGGATGAAGCATGGACTAGCTCTCCAGTCACATCACCATGTGCAGTGGCAGGATCAAGTGCTGGGTTCAGATAGGCTGTGTATCTGCAGGGCGCAGGATGGGGATGCAGATAAATGCCAATAAACCCAGAGCAAGGTCAGGCATGTACCAAATAATTCAGCAAAACAGATGGGCAGGAATTTAAGGGCAGCTGGAGGGTGTGTGAAGGGAGAACCTTGACATCCTGTGTTTGTGCACTGGGGAGACTAAGGTGGGTTTATAATGGCAGGCTGAGGTCCCTGGCTCTCACTGAAAACCAGCAGTAATTCATTTGCTTTTGATGACTCTCCAAACAAAAGCATATTGGCATCAAAGCCTCATCCACAGTTTTCCCAGCATTCCCTCACAACTTGCTGTTGTTCCAGCAAGGAAAAGATGAAAGAGATGCCATATATCCAAGATGGACCAGGGCTGGCAATGGATGTTCCTGCTAGGAGGAGCAGAGTGAGCCACAGCTCTAGAAGGAACCCACCCCTTTCCTGGTTCCTGCAGGAGAAAGGGATCAGCTACAATTTTCCAGCCAAAACTACCTGGCTTCCAGGGAGAGCTCTCACATGGAGGGGACGCCACACTAGACCAGCAATGTTATCTCACTGCCAGATGGTCCTGTCAGGTTAATGCAAAGTCAGATTTTCCTTGTCCTTGCCCAGCTCCTGAATGAGGCTGCTGAATCTACCAGAAGCAAATGAAGAACAATCTGTCACCTCATCTGCCAGCTGCAGCATTGTAACTGCATAGAAGGGACCACGCTGCAGACTGGGCTGCCAGTGAAAGGAGCTGGTTTCACTCATGGGCAAGCTTGTGTTAAACCTTGTGTCAGGCTTGTGTTAAACCACAATCAGGTCTTTGTACCCTGCAACAGCAGAGGCTGAAGTTACTTTTGCCTCCCCATTCTCAAATAAGAAATTTAGTCAAGTATTACCAAAAGCACTGGTCTTCCAGCTTTTATTATCAAAATAGCCAAAGCCTTCTTAGGCAGCTTGATATTGCTATGCAGAGACTTAAAGCAGTTAAGCAACCTGACCGTCACAGCCAGAAAACTTCCAGATAGCTCCTTTATTACCTCCAATGGAAAAAAGGGGGAACTTTGAAAATCTAGGATAAAATAATGCCTTTGGTGAGGCTCCGTTGCAAACACAAAGATGAACACGCCCTTTTAAGTTTGGGACCCTTTCCAATCTCGTACATAAAACCCCTCAGACAGGAATGAATGTTTCAGCTACTTTTTAAAACTCCTGTGAAAAGCAAAGTTTGATAATAAAACACAGAAATTTCCAAATAGAGCCTGTCTATGAATCCCAGGCTAGGAACAGGGATGGGTGTGCTTCCTGCACTAGCTGGTGCCTTTCCTGGCCAGTGTTGCAGTGAAGCTGGCACAAAACACTAACTTTAGGAAGTGCTTGTAACAAGCTATCAGGCACCTGTTCAGAACAGCGGGCTGGTATGTCATGCTGAACGCACGCGGAAACTGCGTCGGTCTCTGCTAAACAAAGAAACACAACAGCATTAATTTCATGTCTGCACCTCATGAAACATTCCCCTCCAAGCCCTGTCCCTGGGAACAACATCCACACTTGTGCCTCTTCTACTTCCACTGTTCTGAAAGAGAGCTTCTCTTGGTTTAACAAACTGGTACCTTCACAGTGAACTCGTGTGTCCTGGACAGGGAGGGGAGGTGAGGGAGGTACTTACGGCTTGGTAGGCTCCAGGGCCCCAGGTGATGTTTTTGTCTCCACCGCACTGTTGAAGGTCTGGATGTTCTCTGAGGAGTAGAGGCCTGCTGGGCTGTTGTACTGAGCAGTGATCACCCTGGGGGCAGAAGCTGTGGCAGCAGTGAAGGGCACTGCACTCCGATTGTGTGCACTTCCTATGTGCCTTATTTCCTGCATGCAAAGGAGCAGAGGCAACAATCAGAGATGCTCAGGCATGCAGGTGGATGTGACAGGGCAGCCCCACAGCCACTGCAGTGGTGGCCTTCATGTGTGGTCTCAGCTGAGGAACAGGTGATCACAACCACCAAAGCAAGTGAGCATCCTCCACACAGCCTGAGGGTCCATCCTGGATAGCTTCAGGATGACCTTCAGAACATTTCAGGGTTGACATACTGGGAACAGAAGAGTTCAGAAACACTGCCAGAGCTATTAGCTCAAGGTGCCACACACCTGGGAGCTCCTGCAAGCCTGCAGTAAGCTACACCACCAGCCTTCTCATGCAAGACTAGAGATTCTAAACATTCCTTGCAATTCCTGAGACCGTGGTTGATTTCCATGGAAAAGTGAAGATGAGGGGCAGAAAGAGGAACACTTCTCAATGACATCTGTTTGGCTTCCTTTAGATAAGATAACCCAAAAAGAAGGGATTTGTCATTACTCCAAGTGCTCTGAGCATCTCTGCTCCTTCAGCTAAGACCAGGGTCCACAGCTGTCTTTGATGAACAACTTTGGAATTTCTGGACGAGAAAATCTACAACAAAGGTGTGAAGATGACCACTGCTAATGCAAAAGATTGTCCACAGGCAGTGACAGCTAACTTTCAGCAACTTCTTCAGTTTGGAAGTACAAACTATCACCCAGATGTTCTGCATTTGCTGCAAACTGGAGGCTTCCAGCAGTAGTAGTGTATACTTAGACACACAGGCTACAATTTAATAAGAAAAGGGGCAAATCCAAGTTAAATAAGACTTGAGCTAAGACTCTTCTTAATCGCAGGCAGTGCTAACAAAAATGAGGACATTTCTAAGCCACATCATCTGTTCAGCAGGCTGGGAATTAGCAGCCTTGTGGCAGAGATAACAACATCCAGGGCTTATTTCTCCCCAGAGACGATGCTTGACTACAGCAAAGAGAAAGCACTATGGGGCCTCACTAGAACAGGCATAAGAAAGGAGTAACAGCCACAGAGGTGGCTAAGATATCAAGGGCTAAGAGATGGCACCAAAACATAATTTTTGAAATGTTTCAGCCGGCCGTAGAGACTGGGCACGGCTTCAATACAGGGCTAACAGCCAATGGCACAGGATGAAAGGGGCACTTCTCAGCATGCTGGGCCCACGGGTCCCAGCTCTAATTAACACAACTAGTTCCCACTCCCACTCTAAACAGGCACTGATTTCTACAGCAATGACGTGAGCTTTTACTGCCCTACGAACATCTCACAGCATTTGTTAGATAGAGATATAGTTACAAGATAAACACTCATTAGAAAAAAGTATGACTTAAATCCCCCAACAGATTTTTCTTTAAATCACTTTTTTGTCTCCAGACTTCCTTAGGCAGCTGGCTAGCCTTCCCAGACTGACAGATGGGAGTCATCTCACTTCACGGCATTCAAATGCTATTTATGGCATCAAGCAGAGCATAGAATCCCTGAGAGAAGAGCGGTGTTGATCCAAACGCCTTCATGAGTTACAAGTCATTTGAAATCAGTGGGGTAGCTCAAGATGTTCAGGTGTGGAGTGATGAGGTTGCTCTCCCACAGCTTTCTGGCCAATATATATGGATGCTAGCCATGAAGCTTTCCTACACACCAAAGGAAAAACGACCCTGGAGCAATTAGCTAATCTCCCTTTGTTGCAATCTCATTCAAACCACATAACAGGACTTGTGAAAATAGTCTTTCCCATGGCAAAAGTGTGGATTTTAGCAAAGAAAAATTTACTTTAGCCTGTATATCAAACCATGGGGAACAGTTATATCAGCATTAAATACACATGGCAGCCCACCATTCAGAGGCCATGAGTGGGAGAGGGTTACAGATGTGCACATAAATAGTCAGTGAAAGACTGAGGCAGAAGGTTTAGGCTAAGGGGGTTATATTCTCAGGTCAAATAGGCTCCAAGTTGAGATCACATCACAACATGCGTTGAGGAAACATTTAAGCATTAACCAAGAATTAAATGAAGGGAAGTAATTTACAGTTTGGTTGGGTTTTCTTTTTAACTCTGGTTTCCTAAGAAAGTAAGGTGTCTCAATTACGTACTCAACATGCACATGGGCATGTTGAATCTGAATGTGCCATTCAAGCTGAATTCAGTTTGGCAGTGATAGAGGCCTCAAGGATCCTTATCTTCCTGCAAGTGTTGAGAAAACAGGGCAGCTACACGGAGAAGAGAGACTGACATGACATTAGTGCCTTGACTCCAAGAACTGCAACACACATTCCAGCACAGAATCCACATAGAAGGATTTTGTCCTACTTGTGGTCACCAGGTAGGTTTTCTGCTGTGTTGTAATACCGAGACCAAAAGTCAAGCTTTCAAAAGTGTTGGGACATCTCCAGGAGCTCTCAAGTATATAGAGGTTACTGACTATAACGGAGTTTATAACAGTTAAATAGAGAAATCGGTGCAGAAGCTGGTGTCTGAAGATTAGAAAAATCCCATCTGGAGAGCAGCACAGAAGGTGAATAACCCAAGAGTCTACAGACAAGTATTACAAGAGCAGTAGCATTATAAAGGGCATTTGGATAATCCAAATTCTCCAGCACTTCCTGTTACACCATGCTGTTCTTTCTGCTCGAGCTGTGGAAGGAATTTGCAAAGAACAAGTACCTTCATGATCCCAAGATCAAAAGATAATGTGTTCTCACTGTCAAATATATTCATGTAGGGATTTTCCAGAGCTGCCAACCTAGGGCCTGTGCTGTGCAGCAGTTTTGTTAAAGCCCCAGCTCCTGGAATCATGTTTATGTGACAGTCTCTCATTTAATACTAGAAAAAAATCAGGTAAGTGACACTTCCAAAAACCTGTCCACCAGCAAGCAAGTGGAAAACATTAGTGCAAAAACCCAGCTAGGCTGTGCATATGTGTAGGGACAGCACCTGGTTTATGCATTTGAAATGCCTAGGGTTTGCAGCATCTCTAATGCTGTGGCAATCCCAGGACCAACACAAGGAAAAGGGGAAAATAGTATTAAACAGCATCCCTGCCTGGAGCAGACTGCAAGAGTGGTAAGCAATGGTCTGTTGGCAGAGGAAGAACTGGCAGTCAGCTAAAAGGACATGATCTTATCCAGTCAGGACATGACCTGCTCTTTCTTTGAGAGTAGTACAGAGGAGAGTGATTAATGTTGGATCTCTTCAGAGACACCTTCTGTCAGCACCTGCAGGCAGAACTGGAAGCACTTGCTCACTCTCCCTGCAAGCTGTGGCACTACCTCGGTCTCCTTGCAGCAGCCCTGTCAGCAGTGAGCAGGGATACCAGCAGTGGTTATTTTGGTCTGAAGCTGGGGAATAGAAGCTCCCAGGATACCAGGTAGGATATTCAAGAGCACTATTTCACCACTATAAACTGATACCATGATTGCTTTGTCTGCACTGACATCAGCCTCGCTCCCCTCCTTCCTTTGCAGGGGTTATGTTTCCTGAGGGCCCAGCAGAGTGACTAGACCAAGCTAAACTAGATTAGCAACTGCACAGACTTCTCTGCCAGCTGCTTCTAAGTAAAACTCTAGCTTTACTTAGAAATTGAAGTGATTCCTTCAACAGCCCCCTCTCTATCTGAAACTATGCCCTCAATAAGAAGCAGCTCCAAGTGGCTTTGGAGCACTACCCCATATGCTCCTACTGCAAATGTCTCCATCTCACAGAAAAAAGCTATTTTTTAATCCCACAGGCAAACAACGTTTGTGGGACCCCTAGCTTCAGGTCAGACATGCAAATCTTCTGCCAGATGAGTTTTCTGGGTGCTAGTTTTCACTGGCTCCAGGGGCAGATGGGACACAGCCGTGTGCTGCAGGTGCTGCAACACAGCCACTCTAGCTGGGTGCTAAGGGGGTCCCACCACCACCACTGCAGCCTGCCCAGGACAGAGCTGCCAGCCTGTGAGGATGGGAAAAATATCCCTGTGCCAGGACAGGAAGCAGATCAGCATTTCCTACTGCACCAGCTGCAGGCTGCGTCATGGGGAATTATCAGGGAGAACAATGGCCTCTTCCTCCCTCTCATATGAGGCCACCCTCAGTGATACTGACATCCAGGCTGTGAAATCCCCACAGCTACATTAGCTGTCATGTCTGTGCCTGGGGCCAGCCAGTGGCATGTGGCATGGGCATCTGCTTCCTCCTCACCAACACTTCCACCATAGGACCCATTTCCACCATTGGGAATGGGAGCATGCAGCTTCAGGGAAATTCCCAGCTGTCGGTGAAGCAGGGAGACAGACAGCCAGCCCAGGATGAGCCACCTCTATCAGCTGGGCTGGGACTCATCCTAGGCACCAGTGGCATAAAGCCATCTGTCACCTCCATGGCCTCGTGCCCTCGAGTAGGCTGGGAGCAGACTGGGGTGAGCGTGGGCTCCTGGGTCTCTTCCACCCTGCAGTGATGTGGTCAAGGCCATCCTGTGCAAGGCCTGCACTGACCTCACCACCACCAGAAGCAGGAAAAACCTGGAGGCTTTTTGTACTCACTGAATAAACTAAACAAAGATATGAGGGGTCAAACAGCTTCTCCCGTTAAGTGGGGTTTTCCTCTCCCACAGGCATCAGCTGGGCTAGGCCTCCTAGGTGCTGGCTAATGCCTGCCACTGCACCTACAGCACCCTCACTGCCCTGTCTGCCCCTTCCCAGGCCACCTCTCTGCAGTCTCTGGAGGAAAGAGAGGGCAAATATGGAACAAGGGGCTGCTTGAAGCCAAAAACTAGTTTCAGGTGTGCAGTAGTGATTTACAGACTGGCCAGCTCTTGGAGTCAGGGGATTCACTCTGACCTCATGTCACAAACTAAAATAATAAATTAAAAAACAACAAGAACAAAGACACCCAGCACCCAGACATTGCAGCTGCAGGGAAAAACAAAAGCCACCACAGGCACCTAGAGCAGCCAAGCAAGCCAGCAAAACTTGCTGCCTCACAGGGCCTCAGAAACGTGGGATGTTTTTGCATCCCAAGTCAGAGCCCAGAAGCTCAGGGCTGGCCGTGCTGGATTGCACACCTCCAGAAGCACGCCAAAAGGAAACAAGATTAAACATTTCTCAGTACAAATGTTTACTCAGCTCTAAGAAAATGGGCCCCTGACCAAACCTCAGAGAGTGAGAGCACTCTGGTCCTGCGGGCAGTGAAGGAGAGCAGAGACCAGCAGGCAAACCCCCAGCTCCATCCTTGCCCTTGCAAAGCCACCCAGGGAGCAAAGGCCATACTCGTGACCAGCTGGCATGTCTGGGGGGAGGCTGCTTGTGCCAAACACACTGCAACAGCTCAGGAGAGGACATCTTCATGGCAAACTCTACCCCATGCTATGTTTCATCAGCTGCGATTACAAGTATTGAGAAATGCCTTCACTTTTACCTCTCCCTCTATTATTGTTTGGGGTTTTTCAGCTATGGAAAGATCTTTTGCAATGCTTTGAAATCTGATTAAAAATTAGGAAGGGTTTGGGGTTTTGTTATTGTAGGGGGGTAAAACAACAAGACTAGCTTCCCACATCCTCTCCTTCCATGTCCCTGACACATTCCACACCCATGCAGTAACGCCTTTTAACCAAAACCAGCAGGTCACAGATATGCCAGCACAGTTCCCAGTCTCAGTGTTGTTACTTTATATACATATTGCTTCATGCATTGCCCACACATGCACAGCCTTATCAAAGGCCAAGCCAGCCACACACCCAGTTTCTATAGCCCCTGCCTGCTTCGTATCCAAGGAAATAAAATACACAAGATGGAAACAATGACATCACTCTGCAAGAATAAGGATGAGCAAAGGACAGACACTTTTAAGAAGCTTTGGGAAGACAGAAGTGGATGTTTCTCTCATCCTAAAAATACTCTGATTCAGCCTTAGAGCTCCTCCAGCTGCTAACCTCTGTCTGAAGGTTATTTCTATTAAAAAAAAATCCTTATGTTTGAAAGCCCTTACTTTTTGTAATTAAGAAGAGCTGAACTACCCAGTTCAAATCAAGAGTTTTCACTAATATTCTCAATGTCTGATATTAATACTTGTGCCTTATTGCAAAGGGGATATATAGCCTTCAGGGAGCCAGACAAAGTTTTGGAGACAGTCTGGGTGCCAACTGCCCTTGAAGCTGGACTCTCTCAGCTCTTTCTCTACATTACCTCACTCAGCAAAAACAGAGACCTGGACCCCACTGGCATCTGCGTCATACAAAAAAACCCCAAACCAAACAAAAATACCCAAACAAACAAAAAACCAAAACAGACCCCAGGTCTGACAAGACCTGGCACAGTCAGAGGATATGGAGTTTTATTGTCTGTTTTACCAAGAGGCAATATAGCCCCTTGGGGTACAGATCTTACTGCGTGGTCCACGATCACCAGACAGCACAGCTGACTTGAAGCTATGCTAGTCTCTGGTCAATATCAAAAGCATTAAAATTAAATTAGTCACCAAGTAACTTGTTTTCTCTTGCTGTGACTACTTTTTTCAAGAGACATTAAGCAGAAGGGAGAGGCAGACATGTTATTTTAGTCTTTCCCACTGTTGTGAGGAAAAGATCTTGATGGGAAAATGCCACTGAGCAATCAGGTTTAGGATCTGGTTAGAAGTGCAAGTGAACTAACTGAGTAAATATGCTAAGACGACTGTTATTTCCTTCCTCTAATGTTGCCATGGGCACCAAAACAAAGCTAGGTCAGCTGCTGAGCCATCAACATCAACAAGCTGCTGCACCTTTTGATGAAATGCAATTTTGTCATCACTCTTGCCTCAGTTTAAATTAATTTAGAACGATAAGGATAATGACAATGAAATAATAAGTCTGTAGCTCTTTCATGGGCAAAGATCAGCTTAGACAATGAAGTCAGTCTTTGGACTCAGGACTTTGGGGAATGAATGGGAGGTTGTAGAATGCCTTTTTCATTTTCCAAAGGCAAATAAAAGTATTTTGAACGCACATTCCTAGTAAGGGAAAACACTTCCACAGGCATGATGCAGCATGTCACCAAATATCAGCCTCCAAAAGGATTGTAAACAAACAGTAAACAAACAGTCCGCTTCTAATGGGGTAAAAAACGTGTAAGCAGGGATCTTAAAATATTTAGCTAGTCATAGACAAGCTCTTAAGCACTGGTTCCTGAGACAAATTGAAAATTAAGCTATTTTGCAAGATATTTTTGCAAAGATCTAGCAGCTACATCAGTAAAATAGGAAGACAAAGAGAAGGTGGACAAGCGTGAAAAATTTCTGAGATACCAAGTGTAGGAAAGGCAACATCTAACAGCTAATTCTAAGAAAGATGGCAATATATCTGAATAAGTCAATTTCTACAGCAAGGGTTTTAAAGACTTTTTTTTTGAGCCTGAAGTAAGGCTACTCACATGTATGATTTTATGTCTGCATTCTAAGGGCTATGTGCAAAGCCAAGGAGAACCATTGTCAGAGGACCCTGGACCAGGACTTAAACAAACCACTTGGACTCAGCATGTCCTATTTTCTTTGGTAAGTGAATTAATAAGTGTTCTGCACTAGACTGTTGCCAAGAAAAGCAAAGATACTGTTTTCACTGGCTAGCAAGTTAAAAAAACCTAAACAGCTCAGCTTTGTCTTCGAAGATTCAACTCTACTCACAGCTTCAACTAGTCCTGCTGGAAAAATGATACTGGCATCTTTGCAGTAAAATTCATAGCAGTTTGCCATGTTGGTATACATTCATGTTGGTATACATAGCATTTTCTGCACTCTCCTACTGCTGCTTTGTAGCAGGCCTAGCCAAAACCCCTGATAATGCTGCAAAGACACAGCCCCAGAGCAACTTGGCCAACACTTGCCATATGCTCTGGCAGGAATCAGCTCTTCTGATTTCATGCTCCAAGCAGAAAGACCTCACTACAAAACTTACTTGATGTAGTCAGCTATTGAAAAAAGGAAATGGGCAAAAACCCCCAAACAATCCACCAAAGAAAGAAACCCACAACCTCACAACTTGATGGTATTCCTGACACTTTGGCACAGCAGATTAGGATGTTCAGGCACTGTTACGCCTTAAGAGTAAATAGGAGCTTGAGGTTTGGAGACATGATGCATCTCCCTTCACACTGCTGAATTCCTGTTTGAGTCTGCAGCAAGCCCCATTCACATACACAACTGCGAATTATTTAACCTGCTTTAATTTAAAGGAAGGGAATAAGAAAAGGCAAGACTTCTGTGAGTTTAGATGTTCCTTTCACACCAGGAAATAAATCTTCTAGCAACAGGCATCAAAGGGGTGAAAGCCTAATTTTCAGGCAACCATTGATTATTAGTACAAGATTAAAACAGTCACTGCTCAGAGATAAGCTCTGTAACATGAATTTCTCCACACTCAGTCGTACATCAAATTCTCCTGCTCAAGTCAGTTACAGGTTGCTACCAATAAATTCAGTTGTACTATACTTATAAACTAGCAGTATCAGGGTATCTATCCAGTGGCCAGAGCTAGAACAAGGACTAAGACTGAGGTTAGGCTTTAGGAAGGGATGTTTTCCATCACCAGCATTACTGCTAAATCCTGACTATCAATGCAGGCTGGGACTGGGGAGAAAAATGTGGTGGGACAGTGAGTTACAGGGGGGTTGCAGCAGCAGGTTTCTTCCTGCAGTTAACTAAAATTAGTGAGCTACTTTAAAATCCCACTTAGGGCATGTATTGTGCCGTATGTTTAATTTTATGGCATTTAGTTCAATTCTTGCTAATGGCTGCATTGGGAAATGGGTCTCTAGGATTGAGTCTCCTGCTGAATTAAATGACAGCTCTCTGCATCCTTGCAGCAAAACCTCAGAGCAGACTCCGCCTCACTCCTTTGGCAAGAGATAGCCCCCAAATGTCCAGGTTGAAGCAGAACCTTTCAAAAATCTGGGCAGCAGAAGACACAGACCAAACCTCAGCTCAACAGTGCCACAGACAGGTGTCACCACATGGCTCCAGCTCAAACTAAGTCCAAATGGCTCAGACTCACACTATGCCTTGGCAGGGTTATGAAATACCTGGAGAATGCCACACCGAATTCTTGGGCCAAGTAACACAGAGAAGCTTGATGTGAAAGAGAACATGGACAGATCTCAGGCCAAGGTCCGAGCAGGGTGTTGTTGCACATGTGCTGCTTTAGTCTCAGGTCCTTTCCCACTGAAACAGCCATGTTAGTGCTTAATTAATTGCAGAGTCAAACTAGTTTTATAATATACTTATGGGATGTGTGCTTGGGCCAGAATCCACTGGGGCCATGTCACTGCTCCAGTGAAAATCCAGAGGAATGCCACTGATTTTAGTGTAGTTATTATAGATTTTTTTGCAGTGTAATCCTCTAAATCTAGCCCAGGTGATGCCCTTGCAGATTTCTGTTATTACTACATTTACTACACAGAGGCAGCAGACCAATGAAGCAAGGCTGTCAACAGGTTACAAAACAAATTTCCTAGACAGAGGCTGCATGATCTGCCACACAGATAAAAAGATGCTGGTGTATTTCTCTTCCACTTTCACCACAGCTTACTGAGTAAGAGCAAAAAATCCAAACCAAACCAACAGAAAACACCAAGTGAATAATATTCCTCACCCCTCAAGTCTTTTCTATCTAGAAAAACCAACTGGCTTAGCAATCAATAAATCAATAATTTACTGAGCCACATCTCTAGAGTGCCTTCTGTGCCCTGTGGTAGGTGTGAGCATGCAGATGGCAGGAGGCACCTCTGACCTAAGCACCCAATTAGCTCTCCACAGCAGCAAGCTTCTCACCACGAGGGAGGGAGTTTGTCTCTCAAGGCCTCCAAGGGCCACGTGATCTCTTGATAGTAGGGGACATGATGGTACCCCCAACATGATTAACAGAATGGCGTATGCTCAGCTCCTTGGAGGATAAGGCCTGGAACTTCTCTCACAGGAGTAAGAGGGAACAAGAGCAGACAGCTATTCCAGGACTTACCTGTGGCTCAGAGGCCAGATTCATCTTATAAGGATGTGTCTTTCCCTCCTCGCTTACAAGTGGTGACCAGACTTTTGACTCCGTTCTGCAACATACAAATTTTGCATAATTAATCTGTTTTCATCAGTGACCACCATTAGCATTATTAAAAGACTCAAAGTTCATCAATTCCTCAAACATTTCTAGAGTCTCTCATATATAGCACAATTCACATGAGGAGGAATGTAGACAGCGTCATTTTAGATACACAACATAGGTGGCTTAGAAAAATGAGGTCCTTGGAGCAAGACAAGATCTCAGCAGTGACTGTCCTGACTTATCCTTTGTGACTCCACAGGCAACACATCAGGTATGGGCTCCCACCCAGGCTGCCAAGCTGGGGGTTACCCAAAAGCAGAAGCTGAAGATATCCCTCAGATGCAAATCCCTTAATTAAATGGGACAATTCAGATTGCTACGTGTTTCAGTTTTTCTGGGTAGCCAGGAAAAAGAATGATTCTTTATCATGATTCTTTATCTTCTTTTTTATAGTCTGTATTGACTATACAGAGAACATTTTGTTCTTGAGGTTGGACTGCCTTGGAGATAAGCTAGAAATACTTTTTCATCTGTGTCTCCAGAATTTTCTTCTTATTTATAGTGGTATCCATGTTGAACAAACAGAAGCTTTTGGGAATAATGAAAAAAATAAATAAATCCCAGCCTGAAATGGGACTAAAAACTGAGACGACCTAGTGTGACAGAGAAAGTCTAACCTTTACTGTTCTGTGGTCTGACCCAATTACTCACAGTAATCAGAAACACAAGTCAAGATCTACAACTGAAACCAACTGCTTTTACCATCATCATTGTGGAATTTTGCTGTGTCCCAAATAATGACAAACGAGTGGTGAGGAAGAAGTGGAGTGCTTGGATTTGCTTTAAATACTTTGTGGGAAACATATGGTACCTACATTTCTCAGAAGCAAAGACAGTAGTTAGCATCTCAGTCAGATTAAACAGTGCCACTTTTCCCAAACTTTTTAATAGTAGGGAATGAAAGACTGCAGTATTCTTGAGTGAAAACTGCTGTTCAGTGCTAAACATTGCATCATGCAGCAACCAGATGGCTGATAAACTCTTAGGATGAGGTCTGAAAACCATGTCCTGTCCTGTTGACAGGAGCCTTTTCTGGAAACTGGAACTGCAAATAGATGTACTTCCTAGGTATTTGTGGGTCAAGGACTAGTTATAATTTAAGTACTTATTTAGCCAAACATGAATGCTTCCACTGAGAATTAACTGGATAACTGGAAAGAGATTTTCCAGTTAAAGAAGGAGGAAGAGACTAGAAAAAAAAAAGGCTTTTAAAACTGGTAAGAATGGAGAAACAGGGTATAGAGCTACCCACAACACATTCAGTCTGGTGTGCACCATTCCTCTAAAAACCCTCTGAAGTCACAATATTTTTAAAACAGCCAAACTTAGATGAGATGCACATATACATCCCAGATATTTGCTGCATAAATAGTATTTTAATATTTGCAACCAGAAGGCAGCTCAGTGGGAGGAGATGGGAGGCAGCATTCTCAGTCAGGAAAGAGGAAGAGTTTTATTGACCTGCTATTCCCTTTACTGCACTGTGGACTTTACACAGAAGAAACCTGAATGAAGTCTGCTGTGCTGTACCACCTTTCACAGGAAAAGTACAAACAAACAGGTCACACCTCATATCCTTTATGGATATTCAAGTACAGCAAACCTTTAACTCTTGGTTATTGCATCCTGCAAGCCCAGCTGATAGCTGACAACCCATGCCACTCAAATGCTGCTGTCTAGCAAGCTGGGGCACATGCAGACAAGTATGACTGTAACAGCTGGGTGGTACCAGATCCACACCGATCTGATCATCATCTTGTCACAACAGCTGCTGTTACTGGATGTCCAACATGCCTCAGGTGAATGCAAAACAACCATTCTCTCCTTGCTTCTGGCAATCTGTGCTTTAAGGTACCTGAGGAATGAGCAATTTCACCCAAATTATGGCTATCAAGCCTCACAAAGTCACACCCATTTCCAGGATGGCTGTATTTTCCACACCTGAAGACTGTTTGCACATAGGGGAGGAGCAGCCTGCTGACTAATACAAAGCCTTATTCCTTGAAAGTGTTTGGAGATTATGTATGACCAAGTTTCATCTCCTCAGGAGAAACAGGGGACACAGCAAAATATATGGAAAGGAGACACCCAGCCAGCCAGGCCATAAGCAAAGGAACGTTGGCTGGAGATGAAAGAGCAGTTCAGAAAGCATTAAACACTTCTGCTGATTTCTAGCATGAGGCATCCCTGCACCAGTTCTCGCAGCAATGATCCAAGAACTCTTTTGAGGTAGCATTTTCTCTTACAGCAGTTTATTATAAGCTTTCAGAAGCACGAGGAGGCTTTATTCACACTGAAAAATTCAAGCCTAAAGCAGGCCAGTGTATGACTACAGAATGGAAACTTCCCCTCAGGCACTTGTTTTCATCCCACTGCCCCTCAATGTGTTTGAGGTCTGGTGACAAAACATATTGGTCTCCAGAGGAGGGGAGGCAATTATGGCCAACCACTGCAGCCCACAGGGGGTTTGACTAGATTTTTCTCCTTCATTTATAAGCAAGGCAAATAGCTCAAGTTTGTTCCCCAGTCTGCTGCCATTTTGCTCTGTCACTGGATATAAATGGAAGCAGCAAGGTCACTCCAAGCTTTATTTTCAATCCAGTCTAGAAGTTATCCAAACAGAAATGTTAAATAGGCCATGCATTTGTCCCTCTAAGGCAGGGAAGATAAAGCTTCCCTTTGTCTTCACAACAGCTGCAGAAGAGCCCCATAGCCACTCTCAGCGGCCCATTTATAGTCCCAGTGAAGTGGCAAAAAGGACAGCTTTGGTCTCCCATGCATGTGCCCCATCCCACTGCACTGCCTGTGGAGCCCACGGTCTGTGGGTCCTAGGTAGGACCACGATGGTCCCAGCGCTTGGGAAGGGTTTCCTGGCTCTGCTTCTTGTGTCAATGCCTGTAATTCTACTGAAGTGTAGCATGAGGAAGAAAAATACCACTTAAAAGTTCACTCACTACTAGCCCAGGGCTTACTTTCTGCAGTGTTGGGAAGTGTGGGCACCAGGCACAGACAGCAGGGCAGATTAGACCCACCATGCTTGTATCTTATCCATATATTTTCACATCTTAGTTATATGAAGGAGGGAACAGGCGTCAGAGCAGACAGATAAACCCAGCCTTGGTAATAATGCCTTCAGTTCACGCCAGGCCACTGCTGGTAATGGCTTTCTGGAGGATTTGTTCCCCAAATTTGAGGGAGAAGGCCCCCAGTCAAAAAAACACCTCCACGTTGCCCTCAGCAAGGCCGTACCCCTATCAGTGAGCATGGTCATGCTAGCAGGGCTGCCAGACCTGCCTCTCCACTGGTGGAGGGGCTGGATGTCCAACAGCCTGCTGGGGAATCCCACCCTGTCTGGTGAAAGCCAGAGGCTTTGGCATCCTTATCAGATCTCAGAAACTCCTGATAAACTGATGAATATTTATTTTATAATATGGCTTCTAATGCATATTCTTTCAAATGAGGCTACATCAGAGAGCAACATTCAAATGGTGCAGGAGACAAAAATATGACACAAACAAGTCTGAGAATGAGGGTCAGGCAAATTAACAGCAGGGACATGAATATACAAACCTCATCATTTTTGCAGTTTACATTTCCATGTTGTTTCTTTTACTACAGGGTAGAGAGTAACTAAGACAGGGCCAGGGAATGAGCCATGCATCTCCTGTTTCATCCAGGCAGAAAGCAAAATCCAAGATTAGAAAGAAATTTTTCTAATACTAGTTTGGGTGCAGAGGTACTAGCAGGAAAAGAAGGAAGGAAGCCACATGCAAGTCAAGGCAGGAATATAGAGAGGTATTTATGAAACAACACTTTTTGAGCAGCTTGGCTTGAACATGATGTAATATAAACATTCCAAGAGCTCAGATTTTGCTATCAGTGCTTTGCATGCAAAGTTGGGCCATAGCTTCAAGGGAAAATTCAGAGCTGGAAAATGAGGGTCTAATTCTTTGTGCCAGGAACTGTGTAATTTCCATAAAGAAGAAAGGCACATCTACATTCATTCACATCTCATTTCAAACACTGGGATGGACACAACTAAGATACCAAGTAGCAAATAAACCTCAAAAGACTGAAAAGTTTCTTGCACAGCATGAAGCTTTTTAGCTGAAAAATGAGGAAAGACCTAAAGAATTTCTCTTTCACAATCCTCTCACCAGAGTTTTCCACAGGCATTTTAATAATGTTTAGAAGCTAACTATGAAAGCTCACAGGCTACCTTTTAATCAGCCTTTTAGCTACAACAGATATTAAATACAGACCCTTGGCTTTAAACATGAGTAGTCACTTTTAACAAACATCCATTAATGGACATACTCAGTTTGGCAAGCAGAACTGTACTCGGGCTGCATACAGCCTCCTGTCAATTCAAACAGCAATGACAGTCACAACTTCCTAGAGACAGGAGACCCCAAATGCATTTCTCCATGCATGGCCCTCTTGCATTTCAGGTGTCTCTTTATATAACCACTAAAACCAAAAAGGCAACTCCAGTTAAAGTTCTGTTGCTACTTCTGTGTGTCTGGAGCAGGTTCAGGACAGCTACAAAGCTTAAGACACACTTGACTGCTCAGACTTACACTGTTCTTGCACTTACCAGCTGCAGTTAACTGTTACTGCCTTGCCACAGAGGCTGTAAAATCACAACAAAAGCCAATCTTGATTTGCCAAAATTACTTTGAATGTGTCTGTTGTTAGTAAAAGCTGCTGGCATGCACCCACGAGGGCTGGAAGCACCACAACTGGAGAGGTTGGGAGCAGCCACACTGGCCAGGCAACCTGCATGGCCTTATATAGCTGCACACTGAGCAGCTGGCCTTTCCCAGGGCCAAAGGAATTATTAGTAAGATGACAGAACTGGAAAACTCTTCTTGGCAGGGAAGCAAAAAAGCAAACCTAAATGAGTCAACGGATTCCACCAACTTCCTAGAACAGAAATCCAAGCCTATTGTGGCTTTGTGCAACTATTCCCCACAGCTCAGACCTGGGAACACATGGAGCACAAGCAAGAGTGCAACCAAACCTACCACAGAAAATGCAGAGGACATGACACACGGGCCCTCTTCTTCAAAAGCATCTACACATGATCCTTTCTGACAATCCATTTAGCAGGTGCTGGTAGCAGATAGGACTTCCCTGATCCTAGCACTTTTCAAAGAATAAATAGAATAAAATAGCTTTGCTCCTTGGCAGCACTTTCAACAAATTGAAAGACTATTTTGCAAACAGAGAAGGTGCGTTAATGTATTATAAGCTGGCAGCAAAATGGCAGAAAAGCAGCTTGAAATTTGAGGAGCAGAACAAGACCTTACCTATTTACAACCCCTTTTCACAAATATTCCCCTCTACCACCCTCAAACTGCCAGCAGACATAAAGGGAAGGACAGACTCACTACAGGAACACTTTCTTTATTGAAAAAAATGCCTATATAAATATACACTTTACCTTTGAGTTCCTCAGGGCTGCACAGTCCCACCATCTGGTGACTATAGCCACAGGCAAAGAGACGTTTGTTTTAGAAATAATTTTCACCTGTGCTGCAATGAACATTTGTCTGCTTTTGTACATCTGCAGCTACAGCAGAGCTGTGTTGTCAAATTCATCATGAGCACTTCCACTGACATGGGTGATGCCTGGATCATCTGACTATCATGTGAATTTTGTGGTAGGAGTATTTGTTCCTCCTGTACCTTGCTTTGAATGTTCTTTGTCAGGGGAAGCATCTTACTCAAAATATACTAAATTTCCAAAGAAAGCTGATAGTTGTCTGCAATTTGTCAGACACATCTTGCTGCTTATCCCCATTAATGGAGAGCAGCCCCAGGCAAGGCTTTGCTCAACCCTAACATGTCAGTGCAGTGATGTTCACACCCTAATTTGAAAAAAAAAAAAAGTCACCAAGAAAAAAGAAGCATAGCTCCTTTCAAAGATTCAAAACTTCATTTTTCCTATGGAGAGACTCAAAAATCTCCCTGTAAATTTCTCAGTTCAGCAACCAGGTAGGTTTGAGTTGACTGAAGCACTGACTTGAGCTTGATTTTGTACTGCTGCAGACAATAATGGAACTCTTACTTTAGTTTCTTGGTAGCTACATTTCTCTTGAAAGAAAAAGCAAAATGAATGAACAAACAGAGGCTCAGAAAAGAGCAGGAGCTGTTAGACACAGTGAGTTCAGTGGGAATTTGTTTTCTATGGCCACATTGCCACTTTCGATGCAGAAGACAGACCTTTCCAACTCTGTTCACAAGTCAAACAGCAAAGCACCTGGCAGCGCCACTTAGAAAAGGGTATTCAGAGAAAGCAATTTGTGGCTGGGTTTTAAATCCTAGGAAATTAAGAGATTTGGCCCTTGGGTGAAAAAGCAGACCAGGCATGTTTTCTTCAGCTAGAAAGTTGGTATGTTTTTAATGGTGACTTGTGTTAGACAAGATTTCCTGCCTACAATCTGATCTGAAATATTTTTGGACTGTTACCATTGCTAAGAAAAATAGCGAAACAGGAAACATTGGAATGCTGTTGATATACACAATCAAGCATACAGTGCGAACAGCATTTCCTTTACCAGAAGTGTTTAAGCCCTTTCAATTCTCTATATTTACACTTCTCTTAAATAATCATTAGTAAGCCAAACATGAAGACATCTTAACTGCTTGGCTATCATTAAAAGAGAAGAGAGCTGCCTATTTGAAGAATGCACATGTATATATATTGTTTTGGTTCACAGAAGAGCCCATGAAAAAGAGAAGCATAATACTTCCATGAAACACTCTCCTAGCTTCCAGCTACTTGCAGCTTAAAGGCTTTCTGCAGCAGAGATACTTCCATTGTATATATTATCCTTCAAAGATTTGTCTTGCACTAATTCACCCACTAGGCTCTTCAAACCACATACACTCATCACATTTACAGCACAGTCACAAATGAAGTCTCCACTGTTGCAATGGTGAAACGATCCTTTGGTGAAACTGAAACACCTGGTGCGAGCTCAGACCTGTGTCTGAAATCCACCTGGCACAACCTTGTTGCCACACTGAATGCAAGTCAGAGAATATTTCATATGGGCAAACATTTGAATAAGTAATCATTAAAAAATTCATCAGCTAGCAATTTAAGAATTTATGCTTTGGCAAGACATTTCTCCAATGGTGAGTAAAAAGGGACTGGAAGACTTCTCACTCCAGAAAACCTAGCACAGCTGGGCACATTCTCACACCAGGTGTGTGATGTTCCAACTCACAGAGGTGCTGCTCTGTCAGAGCAATGACATGTGCCAGCACAGCTCCTTGGTACATCTGATTCAGCTAATGAGCTACAACTGCACAGAGTGGAGACCAGACCCAAGGGTTGGTGGTGTTGCAGTGCAAATGATATACACTCCTTTTCAAACTCAGCCAGCTACTTACAGACCTACTTTGACAGAGAAAAAACTTCCAGCTCTGACCTGATAGTGAGCCTTCCTCACCAACTGTATGGTCAAGCCTTAGTGACAGAGCTGTGCCCACCAAAGCTCAGGAAGCCCAAGCCTTACCTCTTGGCCAGTGGCACTCATTTTCCACAAGAGCCTTCCAACCTCTCCACCTCTGTGGCAATGCCCTTCCCTTCTTCACAGAGGAAGGCTCACCACCACCACACAGTCTGCTTTCCTCACCCCTTTCCCCAGCTTTAAGCTAAGAGGGAAGAGGAAGCACGGCTCCAAGTCTTAAAATGCTTTCTCTGTCACCTCTCTAGGCATCCCCTCAAGACCCTTCATTTTAAGGCATTAGATTGCAAAGTAAATAAGTGCTCCTGCCTCAGCAATAAAGACTTTGCAGCACTTCTGAGCACTGAGTACAGCTGCATTTAGACCAACACAATTATGGGGGCCTAGAAGGAGACACTGGGCATTAGGGATAAAATATTCTCAACACACTACAATCAGAAGAGACAACATGATGCACACAGATTTTCTACAGAGCAATGGGTAGCAATATCAAACTTTAAAGTGGTAAGAAGCCAGATCAATGCTTTCACATCCTTGTGTTTTTGACACCCTTCTTGGCCTTCTGTCAGCAGAACTCAGTGATCAGTACAGCAGCAGAAGCATCCAAGACACACTCATGCTACCTCATTGAAAAGGGGTCTTGAAAGAGTTGAGTTGTGTAAACTGAAAGGCCCTGCACAATTTTACACAGCTGTAGATCCAGCTAGAAATCTCTCCCTGGGCAGCTTCCACGCACAAGGCAGATGAAATGTGCATAGGGTAGCTATAAACTTAACGACTTTGTAATTAACATTAGCAAACACATTTTACAGACTCAATGATCTGTAAGGGTGAACTTGCCTGCAGGCTGAAAGAGCCCTTGCATCCCTTCCTCTTTCCCAGCCAGAACCACATGGCACTGGTTTGCCAAGTCAAGCAGCTGGATTTTGGAGAGGAAAAGGAACACTCCTTTGCAGGAAGATTACACACTGCTAAGTTCAAGGCCAGTATGAGAAACTCTGGGGTTAACAGGCTGCTACAATGCTCACTACCCATTCACACTGCCTGCACTATGCTCCGTTCTTCCATCTGTGAATTCCCTTAATGAACTGTCAGGCATTTTTTTTGGCCAAGACCTATCGCTTTTTCCTGAACTGGGAAATGCCTGCTGAACTCCTGGCATTGTCTGAGCCACGGTAAAGACTTCTGTTTATCACAGAAAAGCCCTGAACAACTGAACCACTGTGTCATTTAAGTCATGCTTTTGCACTCCTTTTGAAAGCACTTCCCCTGCATCTGCCCTGAAACTGATGGATGATCACTCTGAGGGAAGGCAGGCACAGGAAAAACCTGCTCCAGAGCAACTAGAAATGCCACACTGCATCTACCATCTGATTTTAAAAGCACCAGTACCTGCAGCTGCAATTCACACCAAAGGAGGGATAAATCCCCAGCACTCTCAAAAAAACCAGGCTCCAGTTCTTTTAAGTAGCAGCAGGTCAATGCAAAGCAGAGCCCTGCCTTCCCATCTCCATTTCCTCTCTGTACAAAGATGGCCCAAGAACAAAGCATGGCTGGGGAAAGGAATGGTTGTCCATTGCTCCACAGTTCAAGATGGTGGGAAAGCTGAAGCCAGCCTGTGCTCTACACTAGTGATGAAAATTGTGGCTCAGCTGTCACCTGCCTTTAGCTTTTCAGGACTTGGAGAGACTGATGTCTAAGAGGATCTTCGCTGCACCCTGGGTCATCACTGTTTAAGACTGACAGCGCTGTTTGATCAAGAGACTTAAAAATGTACATTTCTGAGTCTGTGCTTGGCAGAAGCCAGGCACTTAATTGCTTGGAACAACACATAAACTTAAATTTTAACTGCTAAATGAATGCAACAGGAAGGAAGGTCATCTCTGGTTGCACCTCCTCTGCTATGAGTGAAGTTTTCATGAGACCATCTTTGGTTTCTTGCTGTCAGGAGCTACAGAGTAAGTTGACAGACCCTGCCATAAATTAGCAGCAAATGCAATTCGTCACTTGGAAAGTTGTTTTCATAAGGTCAAAGTGCAGCAAATGCAAGCAGCATTAGGATTAAAGGATGAAATGCAGTTCCTTCTTGCTAGCTAGCACCTGTCAGACAAAGCACTAAGAGGTCAAATTAAACCAGCCAGAGAGGTCTACTGTCAAACCAAAACACAAGCTACTGCCCACCCTGCAACCCTCCCTCTCTCCAGCCCCAATCTTGCTTAGCTACATACCTGCTGACTGTCAGAGTCAGTTCATCTGTGCACCCCTTGATTTTGTTTTGCGCCTCAAGGTGCGTCATGTTATCTGTGTTCACTCCATCAATGGCTATGATCTGGTCTCCTATACACAAGTTGGCTATGGCAGCTTTGCTGCCCGGAGTCACCTAAGAGAAAACAAAAAGAGTGAATGGACTTTCCAGGGAGGAGCTTTCCATAACAACATCTGAAAAAGAGTTGCAGAAGTTGTGTTTTTTCTCACTGGTACCTGGAAACAAGGAAGTTAAAATTAATGAAAGTACATTCTCAGCAGAAATCTATCTAGGTCTTTTAGATAAGGAATTTTGTTTTGGCACCCACAGATAGAAATCTGGAGAGAGGACAACAGGTAAATAACAGAAATAGTATTTTCACTCAAGACAATTCTCATGCTAGAGAGCAAGATCATACAGAAAGCAACTCTGTTCTTTTCTGGACAGAGAAGTGCTCTCTGAAACAGAAGGTGCTGAGGACAGACAGAAGTCCAAGTCTCTAAGAACAGAGGTGACAGAAGAGAGTATCAGAGTCATTGCAATACCAATGCCAATCACAAACAGCTTTGCCTGCGTTACAATCTCATTTGTTTTCTTCCTTGAAGGAAAGATTTGGACTCAAGATTTTGCATTGCTTCTTTAGTTGTAATAATATGTTTTTTGCCCAGCAACACACATTTACTGACTTCAGCAAGATCAATCCCAAAGCAGTGTGTGCTCTACGCAGATGGGAAGAGAGAAAGGCATCAGAAACTTCATCTTTAAACCACAAGCTGTCAATAGTGTCCAAAAAAGCAGAAGCTCCAGCCCCGCTGCCTGACCACATCTCACCCTGATAACTTCTGCCATATTGCATCTCCCTTTCCTCTCATCTCTTTTCATCTCCCAGACAGAAGACACTATGCAGCAATGCCATCAATATGACACTCCTCATGAAAAAGGTCCCAGCTAAAACTTGGCATTTTCAAGCAAATCAACTAAATGGCTTCTTCATTTTACCCTATTTCTTTTAAAGAGGTATCCTCTTAACAACTGAGACCTCTATGGGCCAAAATTATTGCCTGTGCAGAGGGTGAGTAACATTGTGCTTGTGCCTTTGCAAATATTACATAAGATTTTGTGCAGTTTTAATGAGTTTGTGAAAGGAGTGTAATGACTTCTGTGGGCTTTTGTCCATTATTTAATAGGAAGAGGAAATGAGAAGGGTGGACTGCTCCCAGACATGAGTACAGATTAAAACATGCCTTGCAGCTGAGACATACCTCATTTATGAGTCCACTGCAACTGGTATTCATTCTATACACTCATGCTAGGTTTCAGCATGCTGGAAAGCAGCTGAGCAAACCCAGCAGAGCTTTCAGACATAGATACCATTCACAAGATTTAGAGATCCCTCCTAACTAGGGTTTGGTTGGCAAATCATTGCCCCCAGGGAAACATTCCCCTTCTAGAGGTGTCACACATTAGCAGCAATCACTGTTTTCCCTGGGTCAAATCTGAAGCTGTCCAGTGTATCTCCTCACAGCTGTAATGGGCTATTTTCCCCAACCAGAAGAAAAATCACAAGATGCTTTTCACCTCTCTACTAGGAAAGTGTTTCATGGAAAAAGGAAGGAGGTAGACATGGTTCACAGTTGTCTAAGCTGACCAAGGTGCTCAACATTAATCTAAAGAGCTTCACATGGGTCAACCAATAGTGAATGTCTACCTGCACCCCACCTTGAATACTGCAAGCAGTCTCTGAATTGATAGAGGAGTGCTGATGAAAATACCAGACCAAGCACCAAATGGATACAGAAAATCTGATTCAAATGTGAAGATCATCACCAGCCAAGCTGCATCCCTCAGCTGGCTGGTGACCTATGGAGGCCATTGAGTGCGATCTGCAGCCACTCCATTGCATTCGCTGCCTTGAGAGTAACCTCCTTTAAACCTTGTGACAGGGTGTCATGGTTCAACCCTGGCCTGCAGCCAAGCCCCACTCAGCTGCTCACTCATGCCCCCACCTGCAGGACCAGGAAGAGAATTGGGAGAGTAGAAGTGAAAAAGCTCCTGGGCTGAGATAAAGACAGTTTTATAGGGAAAGAAAAGGCCACACATGCAAGCAAGGCAAAACAAGGAATTAATTCACTGCTTCCCATGGGCAGGCAGGTGTTCAGCCATTCTGAGGAGAACAGGTCTCCATCACGCATAATGGTTATTTGGGAAGACAAACAACATCACCCCAAACATCTCCACTTCCTCTCCCTCTTTATATACTGGGCATGATGTCATGCGGTCTGGAATATCCCTTTGGTCAGTTGGAATCAGGTGTCCCAGCTGTGTCTCCTCTTAGCCTCCCATGCATCCCCAGAGTCCACACCAGCATGGCAGTGCAAAAAACAGAAAAGGCTTCGGCTCTGTGTAAGCCCTGCTCAGCAGTAACAAAAACAACTCTGTATTATCAACCCTGTGCTCAGCACAAATCCAAAACACAGCCCTTACCAGATGCTATGAACAATTCTACCCCAACCAAAACCTGCACACAGGGACAGTTTGCAACTCTGAAGAAATCATGAGCACTGATAGCTGCCTATAGTCCCACCAGATTTGGGAGCTATCATTATAAAAACCATAAGACCCATCCCTAAGGATATCATTAAAGCAAAAGGAGCCTGCAGGAAACACAGTGTGGGTCTTCTCCTGGTCTCTGGACCTTAACTGAGTCACTTGGTTTCTTGGGGCTTTAATTTCCTCTGCTACCAAAGGTGGGAGAAAGGCACATTATTCACCCCTGGAAGGAACACCAAGCTCAGTACTCTGTTACCATGATTCATTTTCAATCAGATAAGCTGCCAAAGGGTCAAAAACAACAGTGGATTAACGCCAGCACTGGAACACTGCTGGAGACTCAGCCATGCAGCTTGCATTTCAAGACTGATAATTATACAATATGTGACAGACTGGTAGAAATTATCCTGTATCACCCGGAACAGCTAAGCCACAGCAGCCAGGGACACTGAAATATTGAAGCCTTCTGAAGAAGCCCCAAGAGCCACCAGGAAGAGCAGCTGGCATTCACAGTGACATCTCAGTGCATTGCCAGTGCTTGTGGTGTCAGTTCCCTTCTGCGTCTAGAAGAATTTGAAATGTGAGTGCTCTCCATCAGATAAGAGTCACTGGTCACACAAGGGTTATTCCATCCACTCAGGTATTCGCATAATCCTCTCCCCTAAGCACAAGCTACAAGGTTGCACAAAAATAAAAATGAGAACTGTATCTGCCAAAAGTAAACATGTTTCAAAATCCAGCTTCTTCAGGTCTGGAAATAACTTGCCCTGAAATGTAACCTTTCACAAACTGCTGCCTACAACATCTATCCAGCTCATACTGTCTGCCAGGAGTGTTCACAGCAAACATGTCTGCACAAGGACAGGGTATGGAAGCAACCCATCCCCCATCCTTTTAGGATGATTTATAGCTACTAATAATGTTCCCTTCCCCCTCAAAGTAAGGTCTGGGTTTATCTCAGTGCTGTCAAGCAAAAGGCGTTTCTGTTATTAAGTGAGGAGCACAGAGCTGCCACTGTGACGTTTTCCTGCTTTTATTTTTGTCACATCCCTGTGTGGTCCATGGGAAGCAGCAGGGGCAGGCATGTGGCTGGGGGAAAGCAGACAGAGGTGCTCAGAACACTGGCAGCTATCTGCCAGCTTACACAAAAGGACTCCAAAAATGAGCAAAAACTTCAGGCTTTTTTTCAGGCAGGGATCCAGTAAATTTTGTATCTGAAACTGCTTTGCTCCTGCTCTCAGATGATCTAAAGCCTTGCCCCAGCCTCTCTTACCCTTCCCTCTTGACTGAGCATGGAGCAGAGACCAGCAGCAGCCAAGGGAACAGCAGGCAGTGCCTTGTACACCTTGTACAGGTGGGGTACACAGTATTGAGGATGGAGCTGCACTTTTTGCATGGATAAGCAAGAAAGACACTGCAAAGAACAAAACCAGCAAACACAACCTTGCACAAAGGCACAGACTCCCATGTCCTTCAAAAGAGCTCCCTGACTTGGTTTGGACTTCCACCACTGCGGCTGAGCAGATGGGAACATGGGCAGACTCACTAGGCACCGGGCACCTCCCAGTTCCAGAAACAGCATGGCTGGGTGAATAAAGCTCTGCACACCTTATAACATCATTCTCCTTCCTTTGGAAAGGAGCCATGCCCTGCCTTGAGATGATTGTTCCCAGACAACTGGGTAACACTGCCATTAGGTCATTTTGCTGTTGAACAGACAATGCTGAGATAGACAGAGCAGCACTGATTCCTACTGTGTCCAAAATAGGTCTCAGAGTGTGCTTATGGTGATGCTTTGTTTGGGTTGTGCTCTGTGTAAGAAATCTGGGCTACTATAGAAATAATCTAGATACTTACAACCAGACACATCAAACTATGTCCTTGATACCAGCTCAGACATGTATGGAAGAAACAAATAATCCCCATAATCTGTTGGTTTGATTGTGCACTCTCTATTCATGCAAAACTCAATTTAGTAGATAACAGTTTAGACCAGTTATAGGCTTGGATCTCTTTAAAAAAAAAAAAAAAGACTCAGGATTGGTTTGGATAGAAGAAAAAACTACATTACTTTCCTGTACTACAAAGTGAAGCTTTGTGCACATGTGCTCCCTTACACACACACTTTGGGCTCCACCTTGCCAACACCACCAGGACTTTGCAAAGGTCAGATAACCACCTCCCAGGCAGTTTGCTTGCTATTGTCTGCTTCCACTGGTGGCCAAGCAGCAAAGAAAGCGCTATGAAATAGCAAGTCTTCAGAAAGTCTTTGGGCAAGTGCATTTACAATAGAAAACACTTTGATTTAGCAGCAGGAGAAACATTTGACTGCTTATTCAGCTCCCAGGACCTCTTCATAAAACTTCTGTCTGTCACAGAGCTTGCCAAACACAACCACATTTTATATTTGATGTAATTCCCTCCATACACGCTACTTAACAAGCTCTGTAGTCCCTGGACTGGGGTATATGGTGCCTTTTTTCCTCTTGCAGGCAAGGAACCAAGAGGCAGCAGTGTATATTGAGGTATACTGAGGGAAGCTGCTGCCCACAGCAAATGAGAGGGAGGAAGGGTGGGAAGCATTT